AATGAATTTGAGCAAAATTGTTAACGCGTTATTAATGCTCATTGATGTTCTTGTATTCATGAAAATGTTCATAGTGTTCTTGAATATATACAAGTGTTCTTGTATTCATAGGTGTTCAAATATGTGTTTAAGAAAATATCAATCGTCTTGAAATAAAGTTGAGTTTCATCATCCCCAATGGAGAAGAGACGATGGTTTGGAAGAATATGAAAGATATATATATATATATATATAAGTGAGTGATAAATGCTTTGAAATTTATAAACATAGTTGGAATGAAAACCAACCAAATGGTAAAATTATAATGAAAAACATTTAAAGTATCATGCAAAACACGGTTAAAAACAAATTAAAATATAAAAGTATAAAACACAACATTGATGACTTGATGTTGCACCCAAACAATTGAGTAATCTTTATTCCTTAATTTGTGGTTGAATTTTGTTTATCCCACATTGATGGAGAGATGAAAGATTGACGATTAATTATATGGATATAAAAAAAGGTTGAGATGCCTTTGTGGCAACTCATGTGGTTGACTCATTTTAACTGATTCTCTAACTCATTTTTTTTTTAAATATATAATATTTATATACGGCAAATAAAACAAATAAACTCACACACCTCCTCAGCTTCGGTAAGGTTTGAACCACCTCATAAGAAGCCAATGACTCACATATCGCTAGACCAAATACTCTTTGTATCTAACTCATATTATTGGTTTATCTTAACCGACCATTTGAAGTCATGAAGTTGGTTCATTTTGGTCAACACTCTTAAAAAGTTAGTCTATATAAAAAATTAATTTATATATACCATTAATATATCAATATATCTCAATATCAAATATCATCAATAAAGTCATTGTGCTGGTTAGAATTAAAAAGAATCCAAAGATCAAAAGTACGAGGAGGTCCCAGGATCAAATCCAAGGAGGAATAAAAATCCGTTTGTGGACACGGATTTTCAAATACGGTGATTCTAAGCTATCTGCAAAGCATGTGGTCGTTCTGGGATTAGTCGACTCACATAGCGGGTTGGATATCCAAGTTAATCAAAAAAAAATCCACTTCTACAAAGGTAAAACATTCTAATATACGATTATGTTCATTTTATCGTTTGTTAGTGATGCATTAATAGTTGTACATTCATCTGGATTTAGAAATTACAGCTCTGGAAAACAAGCCATCTCAAAGTCCTCCCCGTGCAGTCTACTGTTAAGCACGCGAGTCTTAGAACAAAGCATGCATAGGGGCCTTTTGGTAAATCTAAGTAGGTCAACACTATAGATGTAGGATAATTGCACAAAAATACATATCTATGCCAAATATATAAAAATACCCCCTAAACTTTTTTTTAACCAAATCATTATTATGTTTACCTTTTTAAAATGACTATTTTACCCCTACAGCTACAATGTACTAAATGCTAAATAATTTGCCCAAAATAGGATGGTGAAATGTGAAATTATTGATGAAGTGATATAAAAAAAGTCTTTTACTAATGATATTATTTTCAACTGATGTGTTAGAGCATCTTTAACAGTTATGCGACATTATTTTTCGAATTTAAATTAATATGATCTAATTTACTAAAACTGATTAATATACATAAAATTTATTATAGTTAAATAAGATAAAAATATGAATTTAACTAACTAATATATGCTAAAAATAAGTATAGTTAATTGATAAGTCAATAAATATTTATTTGTTTTTAGTAACTTTTTTAAGACTTTGTGGGTCCGCCCATGTATATGGATTGATGGGCAAAGGTCCGGTATCTAAAATTTAATTTAAGGATGTTTGGTTGATTGAAATTGTATGTTCAGTTATAATAGTCTGGGTTCAGAATTTCAGTATCAAAATTGTTCGATTGGTGATTGTATGACAGTTTAAAGTCTAATAACCGATCAAACTATCTTCTAAATATCAATGATGAATGATTTGTTTTATGTGATATGTATATTTGGTGTTTTTGTTTATGTAAGACATGTTTTTCTCTTCTTCATATAATTTATACTGAAAGTTTAGTTAATAACAGCATACATCTATCCTTTTTATTTTATGGGATATTTGTATATGTACTTTTTTTTTTGATTAACCTGGATATCTAACTCGTTATGCGAGCCGACTAATCCTATGGCGACCACCTGCTTTGCATATAGCCCGAAGTTATCGCATTTGAACCTCCGTCACCACAAGGAGATTTTTTGTTTCTTCTTGGATTTGAATCTGAGATCTCTATGCACTTTTGACATTTTGAGCCAAGTTCAAACCAATCAGGTACCACCTTTATGGTTATCATTTTTTATTTTTTAATATTGTCGTAATATTAGCGTACAATCATCTTTACCTTCTAGTAACATAAAATGACTGGAAATTTAAATTTTATATTAAATATGTTTAGTTTGAAAATTTGCAAAAAAAAAAAAAAAAAAACGTGTTCTGATGCTTTTAAGTATTAAATTTGAATTTTTTTAAACAAATAAAATTTTGGAATTCTTGAAACTGATTAAATACATCATTCTCACCTATAAATTTGGTTAAAGTGGTCAAATCATGGGGAAAAAACCTAACGTATTTTTATATTTAAACAATTAAGTCTTTGGATGCTTTTATGAACGAATAAATCTATACAATTATTAAAATAAAAGATGTCTCAACAGATTAGCAGCAAAGTGCAATGAACAAACGAAAATAATCATTCCACTTTTATATTCAGTTATTTAGGAAGGGAATTACCATTTAGTGATTTAGGGTTCTCTTTTTATTCACTTGAAAACTGATATATTTCCATTATCGGTTTTACAAGTAATTTTGTTGGTCAAAAGAATATATTTAATTAGAACCACAAGGGGGGTGCCTGATTGGTTTAAGTTTGGTTCCAAATGTCAAAAGTATCAGGAGGTCCCAAGTTCAAATATAAGGTTGTGGCCACGGAGGTTCAAATGCGGTGACTATGGGCTATCTGCAAAGCAGGTGGTCGTTATGAGAATTAGTCAGCTCACATAGCGGGTTGGATATACAAGTTAATAAAAAAAAGAATATATTTAATCAGTTTCAAAAAGTTTATGAATTTATTTGTTCATGAACTTATTTATTTATAAAATATTAAAAACTTAACCATTTAAAATATGAAAAAATGTTGAGTTCTTTCCTAACTTTCCCTTTAAGTTTATCTATTTTACTTTGTAATTCTGGGCAAGATCATGGTTTAATTGTTGTTATTTAACTTAACTATTATTGTGTAGAAAAAATTAATTATCGTTTTACTGTTTTTTACTGTAAATTGTTTAACTTTTAATTTTGTATATATGTGTAACCTGTCTCATTTTTATGGTAAGTGTGAATTGTTAATTTTTGAGCTCATTCAAATGGGTTGTGACAATCCATCCACATAAATACATGTTCAGATTTTTTAGTTTTATAAAAGTCTTAAGTTATAGGCTATCAATAATTTTCACAACAGCTGTAAGTTGAATTATAAGCTTTTCAGATATTGCTTTGGGTTGTTAGGCATTACAAATGGTAGTAGAGTCGATCTTTGTACTATCAGGGTGATGTTTGTAACATCTTAGGTGAATCCCACATCACCGATGAGCAATAAGGATGTTGGATAGGCCTAATGATGACGACAAAAATTTAAGTATAAAAGTTTGTGACAGCTCATCCCATGTTGAAGGAAATCATGATCTATAAACTCGTTTAGATGGGGGTAGAGAGATGTGACAACCCGCCCTACAAGATATAAATTGAGACTTAAAAGGTATTAAAGTCGATTCATGCATAATTGGAAATGATGGGATGAACATCTTTAAGCTCGATTAGTCCCAGTCTCCCAGATGGGGTTTTTTTTGGAAATATTTTAGGCAAATCCGGGTAAGCCTTAAAAGCACTTTAGAAACCTACGTGGGGTGTTTGTGCCAATTTGTTCCATTAACATCTTCAACAATTATGCTAAAATAAAGGTTTTGGAGATTTAGGGTATATTTTTGCTCCAATAGCTATGTATACTGTATGCTAAAACAGAGAAAGAGAGGGTAGAAATCTCCAAATTCGAAGAAATCTCTAGAACTTCATATTTAAGAGAGAAAATAATATTTAATTATTTCTCACCAATAAGAGTCATTGAAATTAAGTGTTTAAGAGAGAGAAAAAATTATTTTATTAAATGTATTGAATATATAGTTAATGATATAATTGCTAATATAAAGTAGCTGTCGGAGTTAGATGCAAATTTTTACACAAATCTTGGGGGTGTTTGGGATTACTTATTTGAAACAACTTATGATTTTCTACAAAAATCTTTATCAATTTATTATAAGTTACAATGGTTTAACTTCTTCAAAAACTTTTTATTACCGGTTTTAAACCGGTATAAACTGTTTATCCAAACACTCAAAAATGCTTATTACTGGTGACACACCGGAATAAGTCAATAAGTTGTTTCCATAAGCATTCCCAAACACCCCTTTAATTTTTGATACTCTATTTTAGAAAAATTACAGTATAAGTATTCAAAAACATTAGATCCTTATAAGCCTAAAGTTGCTGTCTATCAATAACTTTCACAATGATTTAAGATCCGATAGAGTTTTCCAAATTTAGAGAATTTTACAATCCTTCTCATACTTTTCCAATTTTGGATAATCTGTTGAAACAAAAAACTTGCCTAAAATCCCAAAAAACTCAATTTTTAATACCATTTTGGAAAATCTGTTAAAGATGTTCAATCTTTATGTACACATGGATCAAACATCTATACTGTCTGAATACATTGCAACTTTTATCGAATACGAGGAAGTATCGCACGAAACATACTTTGGACTAGTTGGATACTTTTACAAGAACAAGGGGTTGATTGTGTCTATTTGAAATAAACTTGTACTCATATGCAATATAAGAAATCATCAGGGGTACTAAAGTGCAAATTTTCCAAAGATAACAAATAGGCAAACACACTATCTAACCCCATATCGTACAACTTTGCTTCTCTGGCATTATTTCGCTACTCTCTCTCTCACTCACCAGAGCACAGACAAACAACACCGAACCCAACTTCATGGTGTTTTAGAGCGAGAAAGTAGAGAGAGAGAAGGGATTTTTGGGGTTCAATTTCTTCCAAAAATCTGTTATCAGGAAGAAGAAGAAGAAGACGAAATTGGTCTGTTGTTTTTGATTAATCAATCCATGAAAGAAATGCATGGTTGTTGTATCTGCTTTAATGCTCACCGTACAAGTAGATGCATTGTATCCAGCAGATGAAGCTAGTGAATTCCTCGTGGAACCCTAATATACTGACCTCCAAAAGGTATAAAATACAGATTTCTCTTGAGCATTTTCCGTTTTCTACTTCATTTAGATTCACATTCACGTGCTTGTGTGTGTTTGTGGGTGTATACGGATGTATTTTGTTCTAAAATAGTAAAATACATCTATTGCGATCAGCTTTAAGATCAATTTCAAGTGAATCTAAAGAGGTTTTTGTTTCCAGATAACTAATCGTTGTTTTTTTTACTTTTAATTGTTATGTTCGTTTTGATTTGTGATCTACTTGTTTGTTTTTTACTTTGCTTTTTGTTCGAGAGTTTCTTCTAGTAGAAGACTTTCAGTCAACAAACATGTTGTGTGTATTTTTACGGTTTCATCCTCTTTGGTAAATCTTTCGCTTTATCAGATAAAGAAAGTGAAAGATTAACAGAGAATCTCTGAGATCTTGTGTCCCTCATTTTCTATTTTATTATTTATCCTTTTGCAATTAAACAATGATTAATTTTAGGTCTTACCAGAATCTGCTGTTGGGGATCTTTGTATTCAGCTCCAATTCTTGAAGATCCTTTGAAGCTTCTATAAAAGAAATAATTGAACCAAGGGAACTGTTCAATTGTTTGAGAATCTGTATTTTTTTTTGAAAAAGGTGTATTTTGTTGGAAACAAATTATGAAATAACAGCAAAATAGGTCTATTTGAGATGGGTTTTATTGATCTGATAAAGTTAACAAGTCAAGAAATATAGGGTTTTGGGAATTAGTTTTTGGAGGTTGAAGAATGGCGGCGGCATGGGATCACTTTGGGGAGATTGCAAATGTGGCCCAGTTAACAGGGCTGGATGCAGTGAGGCTAATAGGGATGATTGTGCAAGCTGCTAGTACAGCCCGTTTGCACAAGAAGAACTGCAAGCAATTTGCAATGCATTTGAAGTTGATTGGAAATCTTTTACAGCAGCTTAAAATTAGTGAGCTTAAAAGGTATCCAGAGACACGTGAGCCTTTGGAGCAACTCGAGGATGCATTGAGGAGGTCTTACATTTTGGTCAATAGTTGTCAAGATCGGAGCTACCTGTACTTGCTTGCCATGGGATGGAACATTGTTTATCAATTCAGGAAGGCGCAAAACGAGATAGATCGCTACTTGAAGATTATCCCACTCATCACTCTTGTGGATAATGCTCGAGTCAGGGTACAAAACTTGATCTTATTCTACTGTCTCTTGTGTTTAGTTATCAACCGTGCTTGTGACAAGTTTTGATAATTTTTTTTACTGCAGTAAGTTTATAACATGCTGCATTTGAATTAGGCAACTATGCATCTCAGCAGCTGTTCTGAGCTATTGTTTTCTAGTGTGGACCTCTTGTACAACGCTGCTGTATTTGCATGTGCTCTAAAATAGCATAAGCAATTTTTTTTCTCATGGTGTTTGACAAATTGCTGCTTTTTGAGTCATGCTGAAAATGTGCATCTGAGATGAAACTGGTTTAAAGATTCTCATTCGCCTTTGCATAGTGAAAGCAGAATATTTCAAAAAGCTTGACTGCGAGTTTCTATTTGTAAGCTCTTGGCGTACACCTTTTTGTCAAAATAAACACAGCGCATACACTTTATAGTATGAAATGAAAGTGAATGAATATGGTTGTCCATCATCTTCTTATACGTGTTGAAGCATGTTTCAAAACTGAGTTTTATTGGGAATTTAAAGTTGGATCTTGTAGGATGCTCATATCTTTTTGAGTAGCTTCTGGGTGGTACAAGTGAGAATCTTAGCAGAAAAGTTGATCGAGCCGGTAGCCATAGGCCATCATAGGTTGAGGAGGTGAGAGGTTCATAGGCACCAACACTCTTGCAGAGGGTGAGACAACAGTTTGAGATAACCTGAACTAAGATAGCTGAGAACCAAATTCTCTTTATTAAGGAAGTCCCCATGAGACACCGATGTAACTTTGATACTGTTCGTGTGGGCTTGGTGCTTCTAAGTAGGGGGAGGGGGTGCAGTCATACATGCACACGTATTTTAGACATAGATTATGTAGGGCTTACACCACAACAAAAGAAAACCTTTATGGTTCTAATCCGAGATAACTGAAGTGGGAAAATGAAGTAATAAAAAACAAAAACTCAGCTAGATTGGTATGTCGAGTCACTCAACTGCTACCTCGTGGTATAGGTCTCTTCTTATCACTCATGCATTTCAGGTCTTAATTGAGATGACTAAACCATCTGCAAGCAGTTTTAATTAGATTTCATCTCGATTTGCCTTTTCTCGCATATCTTCCATTTCTAAGCATATTCATTCTTGTGTGGCCACACATCCCCTATCATATGCATTTATATTACTCCCATCTTCACGTCTTGTGCATATCCTACAGTCTTATTCCCCTATAATGTAATTTCTGGAAACCAGAATGTATATATTGCATGATAGATATGACAATTTGATTTGGAGTACTTGATATTAATCACTCTTTGTGTTATATGGTTGCTGCTTATGTGTTCACATTTATTAACATCAATTACCACTAGTCATGTCAAGTCCAGTGTGGAAGGTTTCTATGCACTTCACTACTTCTGGATCATGGCAGGTCTTAAATGGTAACGTGCTTAAAATCCAATTTTTTGTGAAGTGCTGTCGTCTTTTGTTGGTATGAACCCAAAGCCTGTCTGATTCCTTTTGTTGGCAACTATGCTCTAATGCTAGACAAATTTCCTTGTGTTGCTGTTAGCTTAAAGGTCCTTCACTCAACGGACACATAAACCACCGCAAATTTCCTTTTATTCAAAATTTCCTCCTTTTTTAAAAGAAAATTTATTTTGAACAGGAAAGATTGGAATATATTGATAGGGACCAGCGCGAATACACATTGGATGACGAAGATAGAAAGGTGCAAGATGTTATTATGAAGCCTGACCCCTCACATGCTGATGCTGCTGTTTTGAAGAAAACGCTTTCGTGTAGCTACCCAAACTTACCTTTCAAGGAGGTTATTCAAAAAGAAAATGAAAAGCTTCATTTGGAACTACAACGATCACAAGCTAATTTGGATGTAGGACAATGTGAAGTAATTCAACATCTGCTTGAGGTCACTGAAGTTGTTGCTTCAAAATCTCAACATGAACAGGATTCACCAAAGAAGATTTCCAAGAAGACAGAGCCTCACTATGTAGATTTCAGCAGCAATAAAGAAGTTCAAGATGAGAGCATTACAGATAAGAAGGCGCAATCGACCTCAAGGTCAGTATCTTCTTTCACGACTTAAAACTTATTTTGTGAAACACAATAACGACTATTAGTGGTGCTACTAGTATGACTGTCGGATTTGATTCCTGATTTTGTCACTTGGAATATGAAGAATCGCATTCACCTCAAGCCAGGCTATGTGAGAGGGGTGTGCCAAGAACACAACCCCTAATTGGGTGATTTAGCTTACTGATGTAGCATCTCTAATATCATGTGGGCACACTCAAATTTCTGGGTTCAAGGATGAAATCCAGAATTTATAGTTGATGTAGCCATGTAGGAGTATTGGAAGCTTTTATTCTTCAACTTGATAAATAATACCCATATAATGGGTGGCTTTAATGACACAGATTATAATGTGCAAGCTTTAAAGCTTAAGTTTCCTATTGGTGGTACATGTATATGATATTAAATGGTGTTGCAGAAGCATGTCTTCCGCTTCATATGGACAAGATTTTTCCTCTACTCGAGGATCTTATGGGAATGACGAATGGCATTCAGATCTACTTGGCTGTTGTGCAGAGCCTAAGATGTGTAAGTTCTGCACTATAACTTCTTCATCACTTTGTTTCTCATTTGCATGACAGTCAAATCAGCCATGATTTTGCTCTTTTTCTACCTCTTTTCCACCAAGAATTATGCTTTGCTGCTCCATTCTAACAAAATTATGTAGTCGGAAGGGTGTCTCTTGCACCCTGTTATTTTAAATGAGGCATGAACAATTTAACCAACTTTGAAAATTTAAACCAACAAAAAGAAGACCATTGGTGTGTGTCTGTGTTATGCATGCTGTTGGTAAATGAGATCATGATGATGTAAGTTGTACGCCCATCTTAGTTGTCTTCTTGTATCGAGTCGTACTTGGAGCTAGCTATATCTAATTTCTGCCATCTCTATATTAATATACTCTTAAAGTAGGTTGTCTCTATTTGTGCAGGCATAAAGACCTTCTTCTTTCCTTGTGGCACATTTTCAAAGATTGCGACTGTGGCAACAAACAGACACATGAGTAAGATTCTTTATGCATTTCAAGACTAGAACCTTAGGTTCCCTTTTCATCTGTTTTACTTGCTCTTTATGACCATATCTGCTAATAGAATGGGTGCCATCTAAATAAGCGGCCATTGACCGTTGAAAACAACATTATTCCGATCAAATAATACCTGAATTGGGAGTACTCAACGTCTTCTTTATATGTTGGTTTTGATACTGAATAGCCAAGGAACATTCAGGTCCACTTTGATTGGATGTTGATAAAATAAATTGGTTATGTAGGGTGTGACTGCCAGTTTGAACATGTTTGTAGCTGAATTTCTAGCATGTCCACTAAAAGAAGGTTAAGAGCATGACATTTTTTTGATGTGTGAAAATTTTTGGATGCTAAGGCCATCTCCAATCGATGTGTTAAAGAGCTAAAGTGCCATAATATAGCAACAAGTCATCTTCAACCGATGTGCTAATAAATATGCTAAATTGCTTCTTGATGGGTCAAAAATAGCGCCCATGTTGAAGCACACTAGTGAGCTTTGAAGAACCTCATTTTAACTCGAATAAAATTTAATTTTCATACATGTTTTGTTTTAAAAGGTTGAAAATTTAATAATTTAAAAAGTTGTGAACTTATATACTAAATTAAGTGTATTGGCATAATAAAATAGGGAAGGGTTCAAACGAGAACCCCTTCATTTTATGAGAACGTGGGAACACTTCTTTTACTATAGATAATCATATGTGATACTTTTATTCCGTCACATGTGACGCTAAATCAGAGACGCTGACGACTTTTGGCGCGATCTAGGTTGCGGGTCAAGTCGCCCTTATACCACTAAGCCCCTCACATGTATTATCATATGTGATAAGGGTGTTCTTGATGTGATACTATAATTCTTCAAGACCATCACATCTGATACTAAATCATAGAGGAGGATGACCTTTCGCATGACCTAAGTTGCAGGGCACGTCGTGTGCACACCACCAGGTCCCTTCACGTGTATTATCACATGTGATAAGGGTGTTCCGACGTTCTCGTAAAATGGAGGTGTTATCGTTTGAACCTCGTCCTAATAAAATGTAAAAGTATAAGTTTAACCAATTTACTAAAACTAAGTATATACATAAAAAATTATTGTAGTTAAATAAAATATATAAATGTAAACACAACTAATCTACTTAAACTAATTAATATACGCAAAAAATGATTATATTTAAATGATAAGATACTAAATATATGTCAAATATATGCAAGTGTTGTAATTTAGCACTGACCGGTCGAGATGATCAGTGAATAGTGTGAATTTGAGTGCTAAAATTTAGCATTAGTGCTATGCTTAGCACTTCCGGTTGGAAATGGTCTAAGAAAATGGAACTTAAACATGCTAGTGAAATCAGGGTTTGAAACTTGTTAAACCATCTAGAAGAAAGGATTTATATCAATACCCCTTTTTTTGGCCCACACTGATTTCAGTTACTCGATCCCATAATTGAATAAATGACAAGATTTCCTGTTTATAGTTTTGTCATTGCTGTAATTCCTTGTTATTGAATCTTTTTATATCTTGGTATGACTTATTAACATAAATGTTGGTGTTTGTATTGAGCAGCTTCAGGAGAGGCCTGCAATGAGCTTATGGCTTATTCCTTAATATTATCGTGCTGTTGCTATACTTGCTGTGTTAGGAGGAAGCTTCGGAAGACTCTGAATATCACGGTACCATTACAATAGAAAATATGGTGGCCGAAATTTATTCTAATTTCTTGCATCACATAAAACTGTGGATTCTGTTCTCTATTTTCGTAGAAAATTTAGCCATGAAGTTGGAATCTTTCTTGGTCTTTTAAATTCAGATATTGACTTGGTGTGCCTTCATTATATGATTTATCTTATATACAGTAATCCACGATGATGTTATGCTAGATGCCACTCTTTGTTTATAATTACATACAGTAATCCTTGATGGCGCTAGATGCGACTTTTTGTTTATAATTATATACAATAATCTTTATGAACCACAAGGGTGGTGCCTGATTGGTTTGAGCTTGGCTCCAAAGGTCAAAACAAAAGTATCAGGAAGTCCCAGGTTCAAATCCAAGGAGGAATAAAAATCCCCTTGTGGCCATGGAGGTTCAAATGCGGTGACTCTGGGCTATCTGCAAAGCAGGTGGTCGCCCTGGGATTAGTCGGCTCGCATAGCGGGTTGGATATCCAGGTTAATTAAAAAAAAATCTTTATGGTGGTAACGATGATGATGTATTGCTAGATGTCACTCATCCTTTATGACTATAAAATATTTTTGACTCCATAAGAATCCCACTTACGATCGTGTTGGTTTCCAACAGGGTGGGTGGTGTGATGACTTTCTGTCGCATGTCATGTGCTGCTGCTGTGCGCTTGTCCAAGAACTGCGAGAAGTCGAGATGCGTGGAATTCATGGTATGTGTCCTCACTCACAATTTTTGCTCAAGTTTAGTTTTCCACCCATAAAATAAAAATACGTAACAAACTATCAAGATTCTTTCAAGATTGCATATATCACTTATACTACCTACCCCATGAAAATAACACCATTTGACCCAATATGTAGCAATATACTTCCATTGTCCCATGAAAGATGAACCCTTTTCTTTTTTGGGATATTCCAGGGAAATTGCGGTATATCTTTCCTTTTCTTTTCTTCCGGAAAGACCTATTTGTATGTAGCAACGAATTTACAGAAAAAACGTTGCAATTTTAGTGGGCGAATGAAGTAAGAGCATCTCCAACAGCTATACTGTAATTTTTCTATTCTAAAATAGAGAATAAAAAATCAAAATCTCTAAGAAAATTACATCCAACTCCAACAGCTATTAAAGCTATTTTAGCAATTTCGGTATTAGTTATATTATTAAGTTATTGTATGAATTCATCATCCCAATGCACTGTTAGAACTTTTTAAATTATTTATAACACCTTCAACCTCATTGGTGAAAACAATAATAATAATAATATATCTCTCCTCAATGTTAAGTTTTATAGATTTCTCTGAATTCGGAGATGTTTGCCTCCTCTTTTTTTCTTTTCCCTATTTTAGCATATACACTTTTGCATAGCTGTCGGAGCAAAAAAATCTTCAAAAATCTCTACTTTAGCATAGCTGTTGGAGATGCTCTAAAAGTGTTTGAATACCCTTCAATAGTGACGAGGAGAACTTGTGGACTAAAAGCTATTAGCATCAATAAAACCAAACGAGCCCGATACCTATCTGAGGCAGGGTTTTGGGGATGAGATGTATGCAGACCTGTCTTTTACATTTAAGGAGTCGGTAGGGTATGGGCAAATAGGTAATATTGTAGCAAAATATGAAATGGTGAAATGAGAATTGGTGTGGAGTGTGTTGATGGAAATGAAAAGTTGCAGGTCCTGGACCTGAGAAGACAAAAACAAGCCCTCCATCCTGTCAATACATGGAATCTTAAAGGTGATTATACATACAGACAGCTCTTGTGTTTGAAGACCAAAAAAAAAGGAGCTTAAATTATATAAGCTTATTTATTTTATTGCCATCTCTGCCTTTCTTTTTTCTTGTGTCTGTAAAGTTGTTTGATAGATTCAGTGTATAACATTACCCATTACATATTGTTTTATGTTTCTTTCCTTGTACCATTATCCATGTCATTCCTCTTCTTTACCATCTATATAGCATTTGCAGTTTACTAGAAATTTGATCAATGTATATATATATATATGTATATATATGTATGTATATGTATATATATGTATGTATATGTATGTATATGTGTGTGTGGGTGGAGGTTCAAATGAAGATACCTCAATTTTATGAAAAAGCTAGAACACCCTTATCACATGTGATAATACACATGAGGGGACCTGGTGGTGTGTGGGACAACTTGGCTGGTGATCTAGGTCGTGCCAAAGGCCATAACCGTTTATGAAGGTGTTATCGGTTTGACACCGGTATAAGTTGTTTATCTCAACACTCAAAATTGCTTATTACCGATGCACATTGGAATAAGTCGATAAGTTGTTTTTATAAGTAATCCCAAACACCCCCAAGGCCTTGTTTGTTCTAAAAAGAAACTCTTGTTAGTCTCTTGTGTCTGTTTCGTTAAGAGGTTGGGTCATTTAAACTGTTTGTTTTTTCCAATTTTTCAAAAGCACTTATGTTTTATTGTATACTTATCTGGTTGAGGTAAACCAACATCCTATTTGCCTCTTATTATTCTCCAAACCTTTAGCAACGTCGTTTCTCTATCGATTAACCTTAATCAATTATTTCTATCAATCGTTCCTTACCAAATTGATCATCACCTCTCTCAATTGATGTATTTTATTAGGATTTAAATATCGTTAATGACATATTTTCGTTTAAATGAATGTCAATTATATAATTTCGATATAAATTTCATAATGATGATGAATAAATATATGAAATTTTGTGTATATTTATCTACAAATTCAGCATTATAGTTTTGTAATGGGTAAAATAGACCATTTAAACAAATTCAAACATTTATCAGTTTATAAAACAAACAGTTTTATTGATTCAACTTTCATATTTCACACCAGCTCTTATTAATAAAAAATGAAATAAGATTTCAAACTTTATCATCATTTTAAAAAACAAACGCTACCTAATTATAACCAGTTAAAAGTGTGATTGTAATGGATGGGTCCTTCCTTTAGTTTCCAATAAAAACACGAGGTTTGTGATGGCATAGAAAAGTGAATGACATATTTTGCATTATGTGAAATCTTCCGTTGTAACCAATTTATAGTATAGAATACATACACGTTTGTAAAGTTATATACAAAAATGAATTCATACTCACGAAAAGATCATAGATTTAATTAAAATATAATTTATTGGATGTTTGACATTGCTTATAAAAACAACTTATTGACTTACTCCTATGTGACACCAATAATAAACACTTTTGAGTGTTTGGATAAACAATTTATACCGGTGCCAAACTAGTAATAAGGAGTTTTTGAAGAAGTTAAATCCCCCTTACTTCTAATAAATTAATAAGTGTTATTATTAAAAAAAACATAAGTTATTTCAAATAAACAATTCCAAACACTTACCTAAAAATCAGTAGTTTGAACCTCTTCGATGAAAAGATATCATAATCGTTTGGTTAAGCATGACCCGACGTCGTTTTACATTGGGTATAAAATATCACCTGGTTATCATAGAAACAAACCTAACAGACAAGAAGAAGAGAAGAAGACGAAGAGAATGGTGAGAGGAACTAGAATAGTTGAAATCAGCAAAAGTCTATCAGAGATACTCGTCTGTCCTCTCTCTAAACAACCCTTAAGGTACTCTCTCTCCTCCATTTCTTCTTTCCCACTTTCCGATTTTTGAAATTTGCCTTTGTTTTAGGGTTTGTGAGAAATCGAATTCCCTCATAAGCCATGCCATCGGTGTTTCTTTTCCGGTCAGTTCTTCATTCTTCTCGTTTCTCTCTTTGGATTTTGCAACTAAATGTGTTGAGATCTTGCTGAATTACTTACTTCCGTGACGGAATGCTGAATTCCATTCCTAAACGGTAAACAAACACAATTTTCTAATGTTTATCAGATAGTAGACGGGATCCCTTGCCTAGTGCCACAGGACGGCAAGATCATTGAAGCCGAGGACTCGAATAGTAATGGTGATACGGTCGACACAAAAAGGTATCATCAAGATGGCACGAGCTCATAGAATCTCAATACGGTCATTTATGCTAAAAATGTTCAGGTTTGAAATAACGAGCGAAAAGAATCATTGTATTTGACGTTTTGTTTAACAGCAGATGGCGAAAAAGAACGCTCCAATCAGATCATTAAGATCTTACCGTTACGAGTTAACATTGTAATTTATTTTACCGGGTAAGATTGCAGTATTCAAAATGATATCATATGCAACAATTTATCCGGCAAGCGCTTACCCGGGTAAGAGTCATCAGATTCACTTACCGAGTAAGATTCTTTATATTTATCATTGCTCTTATTGGGTAAGATTTTTGACTATTGTCATGTTTATCCGGTAAAGAAAATTACCCGGTAAGCATTTACTGGATAAACGTTTAGTAAACGACCCCTTAGTTAACTTGATGAGAAGTGTCGATATGATACGTTCAAATTGAGCATAATTCATGGCCCGATGATGCCAAGGAAAGGTATAAAGAATTTCTTTAGCGACTGTTTGGTTTGACAGGACATTTTTGAGAGAGATGAAATTGAAATGCTTTGCGATTTTGAGTGTATTTGGTTTGTAGGATTTGGAATAAAATCAAATTCTGTAGATAATTTATAATAACAAATTATAAAAATAAATAAACTAACTTTTATTGATTGATTATTACAGAACGAATATTTTTTAGCTTACTTTAGAGCATTATCACAATCAAATGTTACGAGATCTGGTGAAGTACCTCCTGCTCCATGAGATTCGCAAGTACAATGCTTGTGGGATGACATTGAAATCCTCGGATTTCAATGTCGGATTTTACTTTAAACAAAACGCAAAAGTGGAATAGGGTCCAATTCTAAATCCCGTTAATCCCTTAAACCAAATGGGCCCTTGCCCTTAGGTGGCATTTGGGTCGATGAAATGGTTTAGAGGGATTTGGAATTTGTGGATGGACTTGGATATTTTGGTGTGTTTGACTTATAAGATTTGAAATGTTATGAATAATTTGTAATAACAAATTATAAAAATAATTAAATTACCTTTTTATTAACTAATTATTAGATTACGAGTATTTTTAACATAATTTTAAACATTATTATATATAAATCCTAAGAAATTCCGTAAAATCCCTACCACCCCCGTGACTAATTATTTTAATTCAAAATAATTAAAACCCCGTAAAATTCAAAACATTATTATACCAACAATCCTACAAACCAAATACGAGATTGGAATGGATTTGAATTTCAAAGCCCCTCAAATCATTTTCATTCCTACAAACCAAACGAACCCTTGTACTATCCAAGGTATCTCATCGGCTATAGAAAGCCAAGAGGCATCTAAACACATGTACGGACAAGGAAGAGTTTTGTCCTATTCCAATTTCCCGTAAACCACATCAATTTCCCATGAAAAAATCTCATGGTTCAAATGCATGTGACGATAGACTCCATGGACCCAACATAGGTGTATCTAAGATCCTATTTGAAAGTGGCATTTTAAAACTCGTCAAAAGATCTAGAGTTTACAAAATTTTAACTAAATATATAACCTTTTGACAAGCATAAAACCATATTTCTTTTAGTAGGCCAGGATGTCATGAATTTGATTAAAAATTCTTAAGGTTATATTCCTAAATGACCCCTGTAAGGTGCTACTATTTGATAAAATCATAGCATTGAAAATATAGAAATTAAAGGCTCTAATGTTAAGGTATGATGGTATAAAATTGGTAACACTGATGGATGGACATGTAACACACAATGTAGATGAAAAAAAGGGTGGTGCCTGATTGGTTTGAACTTGGCTGCAAAGGTCAAAAATACCTGGAGGTCCCAGGTTCAAATCCAATAAGAAATAAAAAAAACCCCACCACGGAGGTTCAAATGCGATGACTCCGGGCTATCTGCAAAGCAGGTGGTTACCCTGGAATTAGTCGGCTGGCATAACGGGTTGGATATCCAGATTAATAAAAAAAATAGAGATCAAGCAATCATCAAAGATGGCATCTTGAAGGCCACCAGACCTGCAGGAGTTTTGGAGGAGAAAACCACAAAATCCCCCCAAATCCAAATGAAACAACCACAACTATACAAAAAAACATATTTATGAACTTTTTGAAACATAGATAGATCCAAAGAAAAAAAACAAATCATTAGATCCAATAGTCTCATAATTCTGTCTTTTTTTTTATGTTTTAGGTTTTATTTTAAGTTTTTTTTTGGTTTTTGGGTTTTGTGTGTTTAATGTGTGCCTCTCAAAACATCATTTCCATCTACCAGTGAATTTCCTCCATGGAAATCCAGGATAGCCCGCATCATCATCGAGGTCTTTGCTCTTTTAAAAACACTGTTTTTACTTAAATCTCTCTCTAAGCGACTGTCGCTCGTTCAAAACCACTACTTATGTGGACCACACTTCCTTCACCTCCACCTTGTTGCAATTGACTACCAAATTCCCCTGAGCCTGAAGAGGATGATGATCTACTAGAAGAGAAGGGTTCGACATGAACCTGGTTTTTTGAAGTCGACTCCTCCAACCCAATTCGCTCAAACTGTGACACCAACACATCTTGATTATGGGACCCACTTGAGTAGTGAGCAGGCGGAGGCATAAGCCATCTCATCCAGTCATTTCGCCGCCTGATCTTCTCACCCTACAATACATTATGGAAATGTTGGAATTCTTAATTTGGTATAAAGCTCAAAATTTCACAACAGGTCAATGTGGTGGTGTTGAAGAATACAATTTTTTTTAAGTATATAATATTTATATACAACAAAATTCATACACATTCCTCACCAAAATGAGCCCTTGACTCCAAGAAGGTTGGGCTCCACCAATAACCCGAGTACCACTAGGTCAATGACCCTTTGGTAGGGTATAAATGTGAACAAAAATCACTCATCCTCAAATCTCATGTCCCACCAATCATAATAAGACAAGGCATTACTTTATTTAATATATTTTCGTATTCTTTATCTAATGCTGTGTCTTATTTTGATTGGTGGAGAGGTAGGGGACATCAGATTTGCGGACAGGTAGGGGACATCAGATTTGCGGACAGGTGATTTTTATTCTATAAATGTGTGTCAAGCTAAGAAAGCTAAAGGGGAGCTAACATCTTAGGTTTGTCCCTATGACTATAAGAGAATTAAAATTAATTAGCAGAAGTTTGATACGACTCGTTCATGAAAAAATACACACCTGCACCTCCACGATACTTGATGTACGCATTGTATCAAGTATTAGCTGAACATTATCAGTCAAACATGAAACCTGCAATAAAGCAAATGATTATTTTCTGTTCATACAAAAACTTAAGAGAAAAAGAATACTCCATGAGGTCAAAACAAATGGTCGAGCAATATAACATAATGAACTTCCTTAGGCACAACAAGATGGAAACTAGCATGAAGGTTCAAATTAACACATTGTGAATTAAACTCAAGCCTTCATCCAACATGATCCATCGTTGAAATATTAACTAGAAGTCATAGAAGATTAACACAAAAAAGAAAAAGCAGCTTTACTTAATATAGTTTGGTCAAGGCTGAAAATGAAACCCGAAAAAAATCATTGACAGGTGAAATCTGTAACAGATTACAAATATAGGAGCCCCCTTTCCCTTCCTTTACTATAGAACTCAATGGAACTACCAACACATAACAGTCCTCAACTTTGTATTCATTGCAACAACTATGACTAGCATCTTCATCATTCTCTACATCTTTGTGTAATAATGGTTCCAAGTAACAAAAGATATTGTTCTTGACAATACTCGATGTGGCAAATTTGTATGATCCATGTAAGATGGAGTTCTCACTACATTTCATACCACCCATCATTTTCAAAAATTTACAGGGTCTTATCTATGTACTTGTAAACCTCAATAAAAACTATAGTCCCTTTTCAATAACTCTTCTAGTAGACTTGTTTAATTTATGCACACTCGCCTTTAGCTGCGTCATTAATCATGCATTCCTTCACCTCCTTCTGATCATCAATGTCAAATGTTTTAACTTGCCATCCAATCTCAAACACATTCAAACCTGAGCTATGTTTGAATTTTGACAACAATGATGGATGAATTAACAAGATAACCCACCCAACATTTGAAGTGGGCATGCAAGCAGTACACTACATTTGGAATGATAATGTCCACTTTCTCCACTGAGCACTTACTTCCCTCTAATATACCCCATTATGGTATTTAGCTGCAATAGTGTATGAAAAGACTAAACTTCTACATGAAACTTATAATTAACGTTACATAAGCAAATAAATACTTTGGCACATACAAATGATCCAGTCCTGGATAAAGTATATAGATAACTGTTTCAAATTCATAGCAGGAAAACTAGTAATCACATATCAACGTGATTGCCCCCATATTCAGGACAAAGCTAGGGAAAAAAATCATATCCGACTATAGTAGAGGACAATGAATGTGCAACGCAAATAAGGTTTAAGCATCTTCATGGGTTGTGTATTTTAAACTGTGTTCTTTCTTTTCTGGGTTGTGTTGATTGTCCAGATTCCATTTTGGATTGCAACTCAAATACCAATACTTACAATTCAATATGAAGGCTAAACATGTGAGAGGATGTCCTTTACGCAGTCAAACTGTACTTAAATTACAGTTTCACCCAGGAGCTATTCTAGAACTATTTAATATTTGACAACTACGAGGTCAATAAGGTCAAAATATAAGTTCAAGACAAATGCAGTTGCTTACGCTGTAATCTTGCAAGCCAAAACTTTCAATACTGGTTCATATAAAACACCTTAAGATTGTAAAGCTTTGTAACACAAGGCATACAAGAAAATATAAGGTACACGAACATTTAAGTAGCATCCGGTGCACTTGTCAGAATATGTCCTAACATTAACAAAAATGACCCAAACCCTGTACCTAGAGAAAGAACAAAAGACTACAAAATAATGACCTGTAAAATGTGATGCAAATAATTTCGACAGCAAAGTGAACGCTTGATAGAAAAAAGAAGACTGGACCTTAAAGGAAGAAAGATAATACGTAACAGGTACAAATGCTGACTATGCAAGTGTAGTGACAAAGTTGCATGAGTGGTTTCAGATAAAGAAGGTCATGTCTAGCACAATGTGAACCAGTACCTTCACTTGCAGCCTACTGTTCATATATATAATAAACAGCTCCCTACTCTACCAGTGGCGGATCCAGAAATTTTGGTGATGGGTGTCAGAATTTAAGTAACATAATTCTTTTACTTTAAATTTAGATGGATCGCAAAGAAATCACTCAAATCAACTTCCATATGCATCGAATAAGTAGAGTTGGATTGAAAAATATTACAAGATCATTACCACCATCAGCGGTTCCAAATGTTGGTGTTTTTCTTTTAAAAAACCGTTCGATTTTTCTAGCGAATTAATGGAAGATTAAAAAAAAGACATCAAACAATTAAAAATTTCACAAAAAAAAAGAATTATCAAACATCAATTAACAAATAACAGTTTTGTGGGGTCAAACTTTTTTTTTGGGGGGAGAGGGTCAAAAGAAGATACATTTCAAAATAAAATAAGGTTTATAACATAAAAACACTTTTCTTGAAAATTAATGGGAGTCATTTGACCCCCCAAACCAAATCATGGATCCACCAGTGTATTCTACAATCGTATTTGTACACACTAACATGAACAGAATATATAATCTAAATAGAGTTTAGAAATGCATGCAGATGAATAATTTAACAAGAACTTATGCACCTTGATATTTAATGCTACATTAGTACATATTCCGATTGCTACTAGCTAACGTGCCCTTTTTCTGACAAAAAGACCATAATTACATGAAGGTCCTACAGGCTGTACTTTACAAACCCAAAATATTACCACAAAACATGGTTCCAAGTTAAATAACACTCAACGCACAAGATTTATAGAATATCATACTTATCATGTACTACTATGACCCTATTTACACTAAAATATTCAGTTTGGATCAGAAATAAACGTTGCATCTCTCATATGCCTATTAAAAAATAAATAAATAGAAGAAAAAAATCCCCCCCAAATAAACTAAAGTTTCAGTACTTAGCATGCATGCATGTCTGGTTCAGTAAATAAAAGAGGAATACTAATATCAACTGAATCTTCAACAAGGTAGTGTATAAAACAATTTATCTTTCACAAATTACTCACTTTCTTGAAGCCTGCTATTAAGTTAACCGGAACCCAGCCTTGTTCATCCATGTTCCGTCGCAAGTACGTATCTTTAACCAAATTCTCGTTACTGCAAAAGCAAGAAGAATGGCTGTTAAATCTTTGGAATGACCACCAAGAAAACTTTTCAGATTATAAACCACTGAAGTTTTAAATTTGAGACAAGAAAGAACCTGAAATAGTAATCAATTTGATTCACTATCTTAGAATGCAAAAGTGGATCTGGAACAGGAAAGTACATTGGAGCCGGTATTGGTGCAACAAGTGACATAGATCTGAGGGACTCTGGTGGAGGTGGACCTTGAACATAAATCATAGCAGATGCCATATCTGCCAGCACATATAAACATCATGCAAAATTATAAAAGGTAAGACACAAAATTCTACCAATAGAAACCTCACCAGGGTACATGACATTGTTGCCAAAAGGGCGCACTGGAACAGGCATTGATGGAGGTATAAATGGAGTTGAATTATGGACAGACGGTCGCATGTAGCCCCTCCTGAAACCCCTCTGAGGTTGCATGTTTGGATCCCTATTGTTAAAGCTTCTCTGTTGGTTCCATTCCTGATTCCCACGACCCTGCTCCAGCTTGCCTCCATAGTGATGGTAAGAACCATCTCCGCGTGGATGTTGTCCGCCGCCATTACCCCTTCTATACGAATTCCGCTGATGATGGTAGTCATTACCACTGTTTGATTGTGATCCAAAGCCTCCTTTTTGGGGGTCCTTATATGTCTGGTCCTTTGGATAAGAATCTGTTGCAACGGTACCAGGTTTTCCAGATGCATTATGGGCTTCAACTTTCGTATCCTGGCTTGCAGGTGACCGCTGAGAAACCCCTCCATTTGATGATAAATATACACCTGAACTCCCACCACCTCGCTTAATAGACCTCTGCCCAGAAGGTGCTATATGGTTTGGAGTTGAAGTAGGATTCACATTGTTACTTGCCAGTTTATGTGATGAAGGAGATGAATTTCCAATCGCCTACGATGCAACAAACATATATAGACACAAATAAGGTGAATTTCATAGCCCAAAAAACATAAAATATGGAGCTGATGGGGAAAAAACCATATACCCAATAGCCGAATTGTTTAAATACGACATCTCTGTGCATACCATTAAACCATGGAAATCATGGTTTGTCATTCATCTCTACATTCTGCGAGTTTAACTTCCAAATACACAGTAGGCCGTGTTTCGCTTATGAATAGGTACCATTTAAACTGGATGAAAGGACTGTGACATATGATATATGTATGACCTTGTCCCCTTTTTATACTTTCCAATACTTTTTCAGTTGTCAATAGGCCCTCTCTAATCTAAAATGTATATATAATATGTATGATATTGAAATTTGATATGCATACAAGCTTATGAAACATCAGTACAACCATGAAGAAACATGTTAGATGTAGGCTTGAACTTTGACTTAAACTTAATCTATAATTGCATTATTACTTGAGAGCCCCAATTTACATTCCTAGCACCAAGTAGGAAGATTTATTATTGTCAATATTTGTAACAATAAGCATTATCATTATCGACGATTGTAAAAGCTGAACATGATAATAGCACAATTACCTGTAATGTAGGCAGCAACGATCCATCTGAAAGAGCTTGTAAGGACTCCGATGAAGACGATTTAGGGGAAGCCTTAGTAGACTCTCCTAGAGCAGGCCAAGAAACCGCACCCATAACTGGACTGACCGCCTCAACGATACCGTTTGATGGTTTACTCCATACCGGCTTCTTAATCGCGTTACTGCAGCCACCAACGTTGTCGGAAACCTCAGGCTGACATTCGGTGCCGGAATCATCCGGAGAGCTCGTCGTCTCTGGTACCGCCTTGGATGGATACCAATCAGATGAAGCGTTGATGATTTGCTCCTGAACAGATGACGACGACGGCGATGCCGCCGGAGCAGTAACAAAAACCACCGGTGGAGAAAATTCATCGCTGCCACCTCTTACGATCTTACTCCATGGTGCAGAAACCACTCGCGAACGTGCCGGCGACCTAGAACCATCGTCGGCGCCGCCGTCTTTCGACTGAAGGTTTATTGAAGCCATTAAAATTAGGGGTTTTTAACCAAAACAAATTAAACCTCAAAATCTTGAGTTTACTCAACAATACCAATACTAATCGAACTCCAACTAGAAAAGTTGTACGCCTGAAAGCTGATCAAAGATGGATATTTAGAATCAAAACGAGAACAAATGGATCAAAATTGGTGCATGCGACGAACACGAGTAAACAAAGAATCAATCAATCGAGAATGCAGGTTGAGAGTTCCAAAGATTCTTGGTTGGTCGGATCGGCGAAGAATCCGATCAGTCACGGCTCTGGCACTCACACAGCACGGTGGATGAAGTTTCACACACACGCGCACACACAAATAGAGACGGATGTGTATGTATCATGTATGTGTCCTACTTGCCCTTGGAAATTACCCGGTTTTTCCTGGGATGTGATATTACTAAACTAACCCTGTTATTGATAACAATTTACGTAAAGTCAAGGCTGGGTAATGATTCCCCCACAATGGCAATCGCACGGACAGATGGATTCGTTGGCAGGTGGTGAGAGGTATTTTCTCGATTGTTGAATGGTTTGGTACAGAATGATTAAAAAACTCTTATAATATAATGTAAAATGAAATATTATTGTTTGATAATTGTGTACAATGAAATTAGAGCTCTTAATGGTTAAGGGAGATCCAAAATACAAAATTATTCAGAAGGTTTTAGAACCATTAAAAGACAGATTTTTTTTACAAAACAAGATTCACCTCTTAACGATTCAGAGGTTGCCTCTTAATAGAACTATTAAAAGGTAAACAAACAACCCTTTAATATATTCTATATTCTTTAATATCAAAAATCAAAATCTTTTAAAAAACAATTTATTTTTATCATTTTTTTTATTTTAAAGATTACAAAATAAATTTTATTATAAAATATTTAATTTTTTTCAAAAATATTTTTCCTAATTTAAGGATTATTATTGATTGGAAATATAAAAAATAAATTCTCTTTCGTAGGTAGATATTTTTGAATTGTTCTCCAACTTAAATAATATCACTTTATCTTGCCTACTTTTTTCATTTTAAAGAAGGTTTTAAAGAATTTGTTAGAATAAAATCTTCAAAAAATTCGATTTTGGAGAATCTGTTGGAGATATTTTGAGATTATAAATATATTTCCAACAGATTCTTTATTTTTAAAGAAAATATATATTTTACTTTTTATTTTGTTTCAACAGATCATTATATTGTTTCTTAAAACAGAAAAAACTACATATTTTTTTATAATTTAATGTGAGGAGAGAGAAATTATTTTTTTTGTTATTTTTTTATCAGTGAGATTGGATTATTGTTATTTTATATAGTTTAAAAAATGTATTGAGATTATTAAATCATAAATATAATTAATGTTGAAATCTCTGTAATAGAGAATTTCAGTTGCAGTTGAATCTTGTTTCTTTAGAGATTTTAGTTTTTGATTATCTATTTTAGAAAAATTATAAATAATCCATTGAAGATGTTTTTGGCCTTCGGCAATTTTTGATTTTGCCGTTTATTATTTAATACAAATATAAAATCTTATTGTAAATTGAGAATAAGATGACGTTTGATTCACATAATATTTTTGAATGGAATGAAATTTGTTAAAGTAATTTGACTTTAAATATAGTCTAAAGAGATGTTTGGCTAGTAAAATGTTTTTTAAAAATAAAATCTGTCAAAAAATTGGAATCTAATTTTTTTTAATAAAGTATTATTAAATTGAACCAAGTATTTAATTGACATGAAACAAAATGTATATATAATATTATATATACATAAATTTATATTACATATATATATTTATATATATTATATATTACATAATATATCATGTATAATATTATATATAAATAATATATATTATGTATATGTGTGTATATATATATATATATATATATAATATTATAGAATATAAGTTATGCTTTAATATAATACTAGAAGGGGATCCGTGCAATGCAACGATATACATCTTGATTTTAATGTTTCGTTTTATATTTTGGGTCTTTCGATATTATAAAACGATTTGTATGTGGTTTTGAGAAAAAATGTTTTTATTTTTGAATGAAATATAAATTTGAAGATATCATAAAATTTTGAAAAAAGATAATCGATGTTAATATTAAATCAACTATTTAAAAGTTCTCATTTTTATGTAATTTCTTTAATTTATTTTCTTATTATAATTTAATTTAAGTTTATAACGAAATAATTTATTTTTGTTTTAATAATATAACATTTTATAAAGATAATAATTAAGTATTTTGTTRGAACYTAATGATTATCCTAATTATATTTTAGATTTTTTATATTTAAAATGAGATGTTTATCTTGTATTTGATTATATTTATCTGCAGTTAGTTATACGAATTCAGATATGGAGCTTTAATAAGTTGTACTTACACACAATCTACTTGCAATCTTGAGTTGTAAGTAGTATGCATTAATAAACAGTATTGTACGTATAAAATGTGGTTTTTAAAAGTTTTTGTCAAATACTTTATAATATAGTATAGATTATACATAAATTTAATCATGTATGTAAATATATTTTGTATGATATAAATTATATTTTATATAATAAAAACCATGTGTATTATCTTTTCTAGGGTAGTTTTATTTTTTAATAAAATCGGGAGTGAATAGACTTCAATTCCTTTTTCCTTGTAATGGAATTATCAAATTAAACCACATGGTTGATGCATAATTTGTTTGAGCTTGGCTCCAAAAATCAAAAATACCTGGATGTCTCAAGTTCAAATCCAAGAAGGAATAAAAATCCTCTTGTGACCATGAAAGTTCAAATTCGGACTATCTGCAAAGCAGGTGGTCGTCCTGAGATTAGTCGGCTCGCATAGCGGGTTGGATATCCAGGTTAATAAAAAAAAAATATCAAATTAATAAAGAGTAAACTATGATTTTTACCCTTATGATTTGTAATATATTGCGATTTTCGTTCATGTGGTTTTAAAATTATGATTTGTAATTTATTGTTATTTTCATTCCCATAATTTGTAATTTATTTATGTATTCGTGCCTAAGATTAAATCCATTAAAATTCCCATTTAACTTAGGGGTATTTTAGTCTTTTCTAAAAAAAACTTTTGGTTTATTAATTTTTTTTTTTAGTTTTTTTTTTTGGCACTTTAGTTTTTTTAATTTAATAAAACTATAACTTTTTTGATAAAAGAATTAATATCCTAAGAAATTTATTTATGTGATCTATTATACAATGAACAGCTGTTTGTTCAAATAAATCATTCAATTGTACTAAACAAATGTATGTCGTACATAAAAGTATTACAATAAGTTCATAGAATATTTTATGACGTTTTAATGACACTTTTAAAATGAAATGTCGAATTTAAATTTTTTCATATGATATTATTTTTTTTATGCGACGTCTTTTCAGATTTATATTTTAAAAAGATATGTATCTACATGACATTTAAAAAAAATATTACAACAAGTTTATATAATTTTTTATATGACATTTTTGAAAAATTACATTTTTTATATGACGTCTTTTCATATTTATATTTAAAAAAAGATGTGTTCATATGATATTTTTAGAAATGTCATATAAAAAAATTAATTGGACACTTTATTTTAAAAATGTTGTAAAAGACGTCTAAAAACATTTTAATGGTAAAAATCGAACTCATAAAAAACCAAGACTATAAAAATAATCGTATGGAAATATTTAATTATTTTATCATAAACAATAACAAAATAATATATTTTTTTATGCGTCAATTTTTTTATCAAAAAATATATATTTTAATTAAATTAAAAAGAGTAAAATACCAAAAAAAGAATAAATCAAAAGGATATTTAATAAACTAAAAAAGATAAATAAATAAAAAAGAATAAAATATACCGAAGTTAATGGAAGATTTTTAACATATTTAGTCTCAAAGACAAAAACAATAATAAATCATAAATCATTGTGATAATAATTCAAAACCACAAGAATGAAAATCACAATCTTTCTCAAACCACATGGTTGAAAATTGCAGTTTACTCTTAATAAAATGATAGAGGGGCTGTTTACCTAAACACTTACCCAAGTAAGCATTTGGTAAACAGCCCAAAAATGTACGGATTTAATTCCATTTTCGATAGAAACCAAACGGTAGAATGAAATTTAGTTAATTTGAAATAAACGATATATAACAGATTTTTTTTAAATAATAAAATTTTAAATTTATGAAGTAGTTTGTTGTATTAATAGAATTTAATATTAACCTATATAATATATTTATCGGTTGTTTTTATAAAGTTCAAACATCATATATTAACAAATGATATATATATATATAGTATATTTCAAATGCAACCATGTCCATTTGTACAACCAATGCAACTCAATTATTTGAGATATTTATGGAAATGATGAGAGTTCATTTATTATGATTTGAATATTTATGGAAGATGATTAGAGTTCATTAATTATGATCAATACTTCATATTAGGAAACAGTCAAAACTTTTATGAAATCTCATATTCATCAAATTAAATGTACGGTTAAGATTGAGTTGTACGGTTGAGAGAGAGGAGATTTACTTTGCAAACCACGTTATTCTCGTACAAACCTTATTCAATCAATCATAATTTTTCATTTTGTTCATTTTTTTGAAATTACGAAAGACAACTTTTATCGTGAAGGGTGTTAATCATGGATATTATCATCTTTATTATTTTAATTTTAGAAAAATACATGAAACAATTTCATTAAGTATTATATGAAATAATTTTATAACCATATATGAAACAATTTCATAAGATTAAACAATTTTATGAAATTTTTTTATAAGATTAAACAATGAAATCGACGGATAAGGTGATTTACATTTGATCGCTCATATATATATATATATATATATATATGGTGATAAATTGTAAGCTTATTTTAAATATAGGATCCATATTATATATATAATAAGATATTTTTCCAATTAATATTTGAGTTGTTCATATTTTTTACATATATTTTAAGGTTTATTTTCATTTTTTATTTGTATTAAAAAAAATTAAACTTTAGTAATTGTTTGTTGAAGTCTTGACATTAAAATTTTTATTTTCAAAAAACAAAGCTATCTCAAAGTATATATATATATATTTTGGAGTGAATTACATTCTCGTCCCTGTGCTTTTTGTTCGTATGCAATTTTGCACGCTCTTAGTCCATCGCCTTAATTAAATGAATTTTTTTCTATTAACTTAGCTAAGTTAGGGATATTTTCATTAACCCTTTTTTGTC